ACATAACTATTATGTCATAGCTACAGTATACTAACATACAATAACAGTATTATTGTCCTAGCTACAGTATCTAAACTCCAATAAACAGATTATTGTCCTAGCTACAGTATCTAAACATACAATAAACAGATTATTGTCCTAGCTACAGTATCTAAACTCACAATAAACAGATTATTGTCCTAGCTACAGTATCTAAACGCACAATAAACAGATTATTGTCCTAGCTACAGTATCTAAACGCACAATAAACAGATTATTGTCCTAGCTACAGTATCTAAACGCACAATAAACAGATTATTGTCCTAGCTACAGTATCTAAACATACAATAAACAGATTATTGTCCTAGCTACAGTATCTAAACATACAATAAACAGATTATTGTCCTAGCTACAGTATCTAACCATACAATAAACAGATTATTGTCCTAGCTACAGTATCTAAACATACGATAAAAATATCCTTGTTTTAACTACGTTATCTAAAGATAACAGTACAAGCTCGTTCTAGCCACAGTATCTTGGCATTAATGGAGAACCATGTCGTCGTCAGGAAAGAAGAGATTAGTCTATAGAAGGTAAGTTAAGAAACATTCATAGAAACTCCTATTAAAATCCTTTAAAACACCAAACTAAAATTCACAGTACTGTAGAAACACTTATTTGGAAGTCGAATAACGCTTATAGATGTCCAGTTATTGAAAAACAGAATTGATACGGTCATTAATTCTTAACACTTTTTCATCTCGTATACGAATCTAGTCCTAGCAGAATAAACGTATTCATTTTTTAACAAAATTATATCTGGATGAGATTGAAATCATTGGTTGGTATGTCAATGTATTATTTTCAAAATCAATCTGATTTTAGAAACAACAAAGGCCAAAAATTAACCAATATTCCCTTAACTACACTTGTCTTTACGATGAAACGATCGAGAACATTCTCGTTAAATTTATTCAAACTAATCACATAAGCAGTTAACTTGACAGCAAACTTTGGCTTTGAAAATACACTATATCAGACTAGTACGCAGAATGTTTGAAGGGGGGTTCTAATTTGTGACCTTGAAACTCCCCACCCTACGTACGTACGTGCGTCCGTGTGTGTGTGTATGGGCATTAAGGTATGCAAATTATCGTACGCTACCATCCTTATTAAATATTTTATAAACACGTACTCTTATTCAAAATTCGTTGATGTATTCAATTATGAAGTTTCAAAAACCTGGTGTATATGTATCTATCTATCTGTCTATCTATCTATATATATATATATATATAATTAAAAAATAGTAGTGAATAGTGGATTTAATAAGATAACTCTAATTAAATATTGTAAAGTATTTTGTAATAATTATACAAAATATATATGTTAACTTAAAAATAGTAGTATAAACGAAATCATAATACACACAATATGCAATAATTTCTAATTTTTGTAGGGAAAATTATTGGAATTTCTTATTTGGACTGTATTTTGTATAGGTGTATTCATGTAGATGTATCACTTTCCCTATATAAGATTTGCTACTATGTAAGTCTTCTAGAACCTTCGAAGCTCCTGACAGTAGCATGGATCGGTGGAGAATGGGAGCTATACTAGTAATTTAGGTTGGGCTTAGTACAGTAATACCTTAACATCTTGGTATTTATGTCCAAACATCATTATGGGGGCTGGAATGCCAACTTCAAGGGCAGTTTTACTGTCTCTCCCATTCCAATTATTTCTTTCTTCTTACTAATTTTATTTTATTTATTTGAGCAGCCATCTTCCCATATCTGGCTGCAGACAGCGAAAGGTGGTAAAGATGTGGGACTTTGTGGACTAAAGCACCCACATCTGCTCTCTCTCTCTCTTTATTTTTTGTATCAGAATGTGAGGCCTGCGAAACTGAGGTTAAACTGGATAGACGGTGTACCCCCAACGCAATTTGTGTCTTACTTCTGCCAGTACCTCAAAAACCAGGGCCTAACTACCCACCTTATGGTGTATGCCCAGGTGTTACAGGTGTGTTTTGTAGCTGCGTTTCTTTTTTTTTCTTTCATGTTCTACGTAATATTACAATATATATATATTCGCCCCAATAGTTTTACTGGTAAAATAAAAATCCAACTTACAGAAAAAAAAAAACAACAACTGCGAATATTGTATTTTCGATACATGGTCAATCGTGTTAAATGAAACTTAAAACTAACTGAACTATAAAGTTATCTCGTTTATTCGTGTACATAAACCAGTTTCCTGAAAGTTAAGTTCTCTTTAAGTAAAGTGCATCATATACATTTTGTTTACTTGGTTTTTATGGTATGAGTTAAGAACAAGTTACTTGTAATTGTTTTTAACTCTTATATGATCAGTATTTCATTATTCAGTCATAATAATCTATATAAATGATACCCTTGTGTTTGTCTGTCCGGAACTATTCTTGCAAATTTCTCGGTTAAACGCTACAAGTCTCATATCGTTAGAAAAGCCTTTGTCTGAGTAGTCCGGGTTGCATATTGGTTTTTCAATTCAGAATCACCTTATCTTAGTTTTGCTTAGTCAAACTTTTCAATGCAACGAGTACGGTACACGATGGCACAATGTCGTTGTCATCACGTGACGACTGGTTTCGATTTCAACTCTAGTTTTTATATTTGCAAAGTATTTCACACAAATAACACTTGACCCACATGTAATTTCCTAAAAAAAGAACTATGCACTAAATACAATTTGTATGAGCTTTCTAGACTTGTTTAGGTCTAAAATATGCATGCGCAGTTCATTCAAAACCATATGGTTCTCATTTTGTGAACACGCATTCAGATGTTTCTGTATATTCAGCTAAGTTTGTCTTCATTACAACTTTACATTTACTTTACTTTGCAATAAATAGCTTCGCGAAATTCGTTTCATAGATTGCTTTTAGTCACATTTTTCTTCACTATGGGTTTTATTCTTTGTTTTTGTAATTCTATTTGTCTCAAGTCATAAAACAGTGTCATGTAATGAACACTCATAACTGTTTCATACTCTGTACATTATTATAAATACCATTACTTTTCGTGTAGTTTCATTAAATAAAGTTACGTCTACGTGAGTTTGACTAACCGCGTAATTTTTTTTTTCAAGTAGACCAGGATTTATCGATCAAACGCATAATGCCTGCAAGAAAGCGAAGCATAAAAGGCGTGCGTGAAAATGATAGAATATTCAAGTGAAGGGCATGAAAACAACCGCAAATGTTTTGCGAGTAGCGGCAACTGTAATATTAATAACATAATCAATGTCATATGAAATAACTTTGGTGGAATGCTACTAAATATTTCCAAAAAATTAAGAAGAAAAAAAAACAGTCACCTCTTGCTGATCTATAGTTAAGTATTTGTAATATGTTATAATCATTTTTAGTCAAGTATTACACTAGGGCCACCTATGTTAATTAAGACAATAATTCATAACAACAACATATATAGAAATGTTATGCACAGTATTTTGAGATTCATAAGCAGTATTTTTTTTCATTATCGTAAGCAGTAAAAATCTAATACAATAATCTAAAGTGATGTATCTTGTTCTCTTGAAAAATAAAAAATGATAAATACAAAAATTAATCCATTTTTAAGCATTTTTTCATCTTCATTAGGTGCACAAGATAAATTGTGCAATACCGGATGTATCTACGTTAAGCAGAAGCATCAAATTAAAGGCATTCTATCCAAGAAAACATCA